CCGGGCATGTCCCACTGGGAGGAGGCCCCGGGGAAGACCCAGGACACGCTGGAGGGACTATGTCTCTCGGCCGGCCTGGGAACGCCTCGGGATCCCCCCAGAGGAGCTGGAGGAAGTGGCCGGGGAGAGGGAAGTCTGGGTTTCCCTGCTGAGACTGCTGCCCCCGCGACCCGACCTCGGATAAGCGGAAGTAAATGGATGGATGGATGGAGGTTCAGTTACTTTTGAGGTTAGCATTTTGTTTGTGTTAATGTGCAACAATATCCTCTGTTCTATTAAAAACTGACATGAGCTCATTTTGACCACAGGACGGCCTGTCAGGATGTGTGAGTTTGTCTTCATCTACATTCTGATGCTCACATCATGTTTTCGAGTCTGGCATCGGGATAAATTACTTGGTACAAATCACTATTTCACTTTGATATATTAAAATACTTTGATGATTTATTTCTGTTTAAACTTTTTAATCAATTTGTGTTTCTTGAATGTGCTTGTGAAATGAGATGCATTTTCTTTATATCAGCCACCAATCAAAATGATTTTCTTTTATTTTGTAAAGAGCATTAAAATGTTTTCGTTATTGAAGAACCCCACAGACAGATGTATGGCTGTGTGAATGTAAACACTGAGCTGTGTGCCTCATGCTTTCCTCTCTGCCTTTCAGCCAAACCCTGTAAATATCTATATTTCTCGGGGGCTTTTGGTCTCCCGCTCCTGAATTCTGTGGCCCTGGCTGTAGTATTAAAACTCAAAGCAGGTAAATACACTAGAACTTTGTGATGTTTCTCCTGCAGTTTTACATTTGCAGCTGAATCGTACAAACCGTTTAGAGAATGTATGTATCCCTGTGATTTGATATCTGTCACTTTCTGCTCATTTACTGCCCTCAGTCCTCAGTGATTTTTGTCGTCATGTCATTTCAGACACAGGAAAACAGCCCTGTCTGGACCTGCGGCTGATTGTCCTGAATTCTGGGTCTGTCCTCCTATTTGGCTGGTTAGTTATACAGATGTCTGCATACTGTAAGTATAACAGGCTTATGATTCAGATTGAATATGTGTACTGGGACTTTTCCAGCCTATAGACAGCTTTCCAGTCATTGTTTCCATCTCCCCATGTCTCAGTCACAGAGAGAGAAGCGTGAAAGGCAGCAAACCAGTACAAAAGCAAGGACACTAATCAACAGAAAACTGAGTAATCACTCAGTAGTTACTCTGAGTAACTGTCCCTAACAGTATTGTATATATAGTAACATTTAATCAGACCTGCGTGTCCTGCATTAACCCAGATGAGTATTATATCATCTGTTACCAAAGTGTTACTAATTCACGGCTAATTCATTCCTTGGAGCTGTTTTGGTTTTCCTTTATGATGCTGTGTCAGTGGTGCAGGACTGTAATGGTCTTCCAGCCAGTAGGGGGCAGTGAGGCTATAATGGGGAGCCCTGTATACTACAAAGGGAGATGTATAAACACATCCTCAGTGATACAGCACATATGTCTCTGTAATAGGAACCTTTCACTTATAAATATGCAAGTAAGCATTAGTTCTTATTACTCAGTATCGTTACTTATTACAGTGGTACTTCAGAACTCGAACTTAATCCGTTCAGAACTCTGGATAAAATCCTAAAAAGTTCACGTTCTGGTCAAATTTTCCCCATAAGAAATAATGTAAAACCAATGAACCAATGAAACCCCAAAAAATTACACCTAAATATGTTTTTTTTAGCATTTAAACACAAAATGAACCGGATAAAACAAGAAGAGCATATACTGTACTAAACACGTCTAATCACATTTATCAAAACAGTAATTTGTAAAGTAAGAAGATAAATGTATCCAAACAATGTGTAAAGTAAAAAAAAACAATGTGTCCTGCCCCGATCGTCCGCTCCTTCTGTGTGCCACGCCCCCTCGTTAACC